AGCTTTATCAAACACAAAATTTAAACAGATCACAGAAAAACACAGCTTCACAGCTTGACGTTTGCGTCTTATATGTTCGAAATTATTGTTGCTTGAGATTGGAAATGAAAATGTGTGTGTGAGTTTGTGAGTAAATTTAAAAATTAAATTGTTTGGAAACGTCAAGAATTTTAAAAGTGACTGTCAGCGGTTCTACCTTACTATATTTTTATCATGCTCGTCCTTAACTTATTTGTTTTTGTTATGTTGTTGGCCTTATAACAATTATATTCAACAATTTTATAATGAGCTCGAGGCCATTTTTTAAATGAAAATTTATTGTGAAAAAGCAACAATAATTTGAAAAAATGGTAGAAGTGATAGCTATTTCGGAAATCACCACATTTCCTCATCAGACTTCTTTCAGTAGGATTCGAACCGACGATCCCACTGACTCAGCAAGTTGCCTATGCACCGTGCTAAGTACGCCTTGTAAATAATCGTTTGCTTATTTCCACTATTTTCATTTTTGTTATGTTGTGTTGGCATTCGAATATTCAAATTTGTTGTTATTAAAGGTTGGTATGCAGCTCTCAAGAAATCGGTCAAGAAAAATTTGCCGTTATTTCGTGTGTGTGTCCAAGGAATTTTGACATTTTTGATACTTCACAGCCTGTTGCCTCACTCTTTGCTCAAGAAATAATAGAACGGGCATATATTTCTGTTGTAAACCTGGGTTGCCTTGTGCTCTTTTTTCACAAAAAACTTTAGAAAACCGTAGTAAAAAGCGTAGCAAATTTCTTAAGAACTGCGTACTGCCTGAAGGAAATTTGACTCAAGAAAATTTCTTAGCCATTTCTTGTACGTCATTTTGTATGGAATTTGAGCTTTTCTTGAGAACTGCATACAGGCCTTAAACTGAAATTTATTTCCGATTTACCTAGCAACACTCGACAAAAACCGTCAGCCTTCTTTTTAAATAATTTAACCTCCATCATATTATCGCAACTGGTGCCTAACCACCCGGCGATATGCCCATAAAACGATTGATATTTTTGTTGTCTTAATTTCCTGGACATATCAAACATTATCTGAAACATGCCAACTATAATTAAATTATTTTCTTCTTACTTTTTACCGTACAGTTTAAGGAAGTTCAAACGTTATGTATAAAATTAAGAAATTATTTTGTTTGAATTGAAAATTCAGTACAAATTTTGAAAAATCAGGACATTAGCGTACTGATTGAAAAAATGAATAAAATCAGTACAAGAGTTGAAAAATCAGTCCTTTACTGATAACATCGGTACGTCTGGCAACCGTAGATATGCAACAACGTTGTGTATGTACATATGTACAGAGGCAAAGGGAACATTTTCTTTGCAGATCTTCTGCTGTATCGCCGGCTTACATGCACACGAACGTAGCAATGCTTTTAACGATATCAAACAAAAACAGAAACGAAAGCGAA